CTTGATGAAGTTAGAGCAATGCGTAAAAGCGCGTCTTTGAACGATTTGGTCTCTTATCTAGAGATACCCTTTGATAAGCGATTGGGAACTGATTTCCCATCATTTTTTCGGCGTTTTACTACCGACTGCGTTGTCACATACTGTCTGTGACATCATACACCGAGTTAAAGATGAATTGTTAGTTAAAAAGGCGGATAATAGATTGTTTATGAATTGCACTAAGAAATCCAAGTAAACAAATATCCTTAATTAATTAAGATATACTAGTAAATAACTTCATTGGCGTCCATTTTTTGAATGTTTTATTTCAAAATGGTTCATTACATTGAACATCTCTTTACCAACTGGTATCCCATATGCCACTTCGGTCTTTGCTGCAACTGCCGACCAGGTAAACGTCTCTTCAATTTGCTGTAGCTATCTTTTGATTTAAAAATATTTATATTTCAGTAGTCAGCTGGACAATTGAGAATTTTCTAGCAATAGTTGAAAACCGTAACATGTTAGGAATACATGTTTTAACACTCAAAAGTAAGACAGCATAAACTGTTGTCTCTGAATACAAACTACATCACTCTCAGTACTGACCTCGTTGAGTTTACACCAAAACTGAACAAGTCCGACTATTAGTGAAATGAAGTTTTTTGGCTTATGTTTGGTGATTGTTGGCCTGGTGTTTGTACACGAAGGCCAACCATATCCGTCAAAATCAATCGTTCTACATCCCCCTGACTCGAGGACTGTTCGAATCTACTTTGTGGCGTTGGCGAACATGCTGCACGAAATTTATGAAAAGTCAAAAGGGAATGGAAAACCATCCAAAGGAGGCGGCAAAGGTAATGTTTACACACTTTCTTTCTTCTTTACAGTTCAGTTTGTTTTGATAGCTTTTTAAGGTGAATCACAGCAGTTGTTTWCTACCATATCTCTCGTTTTCACTTAACTTGGTGGTATTACCAAACTCTGTGCCAATTCTGTGTACGGAATCATCAGATTGCTTTCCTTCAAAATACTTTGTATTGTTGTAATACTCTGAAGTTATGTTTTCAGTTTAGAAACATTCTATGAAAGTCAATCTTATATAACCAAAAAACTGATCGATGCGATGATAACGGCGTTCAAGCTGAAAAGTCATCTTATTTCTATAGTCTACCTGATCCAAAAATAAAGTACATAGAGCCTATTATTATTGACCGCGCG